CCACCTCTTGGTATCAGGGATTGAACCCAGAGGTGCTTAACCATTGAGCCACATCCCCAGCTCTTTTTATGTTTTTTTTTTTTTAGTTGTCAAAGGCTCTTTTGTTTTATTTATTTATATGTGGTGCTAAAGATCGAACCCAAGGCCTCACACATGCCAGGCAAGCAATCTCACAAAGTTTGAGCCACAACCCCAGCCCATCATTTTTTTTTTTTTTTAATTTGTTCTAATTAGTTATACATGACAGTAGAATGCATTCTGACAACTTCTCCTTCCTCTGGCTGAACATAGTGCAGAGTCACATGGGTAGCGTAATCCTGCATGTATGTAGGGTAATAATGTCCATCTCATTCCACTGTCCTTCTCATCCCCACACGCCTCCCCTCCCCACTCCCCTCTGCACAATCCAAAATTCCTTCATTCTTCCCTAACTGCACCCGCCCTCCCCCCTTATGGATTAGCATCATCTCATCAGAGAAAACATCTGGCCATGGCTTTTTGGGTTTGGCTTACTTTGTTTAACATGATATTCTCCAGCTCCATCCATTTACCTGCAAATGCCATAATTTCTTTCTTCTTTAGAGATCTCCAGCCCTTTTTATTTTTTATTTTGAGGCAGGGTCTTGCCAAATTGCTTAGGGTCTCACTAAGTTGCTAAGACTGAGCCTGGAGTCTTGTCACTCTTGGTGTCTAGCAAATGCTGGCTGCCTTAGAAATGCTTGTGTTTCCCAAATAAAAAACAGGAACATGTGACCTGACATGGGTTTCCTACCTTTCAACTTTTATTTGACACCCAAATTCTTTATGGGTTTACCCATTCACAACTTCATGGCTAATAGGAGGGGTTATGGAAACCTGTAGAGGGATGCTCTTCTTAGCTTCCATTGGTGTGGCCAATGGTTGGGCAAATATCCAGGGGCCAAAATCTGCACTGGGCATGAGAAAGGACTGGGGATGGTGTCTAGTTGGGTTTTGGACCGAGTTAATCATTGGTCCCATTCATAGATTTTGACAGATTAGCCTCTGGTTGGCCAATGAGAAGGTGCTGGTATATATCAACCCACTTTTAGGGGAAAGCTGGGGCCCAGGGCACTGAATTCACAGGGTAAACTAGGGCAGATGCGGATTTCAACCTGAGCACTCTGGCCCCAAAGCCTGTTCACGTTTTTTACGTGTTTGTGATCCGTGGGGAATTCAGCAGCCACTGACCCCAAGTCCCCCATTTTACAGTCGGAGAGTAGCCGCCTGAGAGGCAGCAGGGCCTGCCAAGGACCTGGCGCTGGGGATGGGCGTGGGGAGCAGGGCGCGGGGCTGCGGGCCTGGAGCGGGTACGCATAGATGCGGGGTGGAGGGGAGTGGGTTTGGGAGGCCACGGGCCTCCTCATTCCGGGGATTCCCGAGGCAGCCATTGTCGGGAGGAATGTCGGCGGGAGGGCGGGGCGGCTTCCGGTGGCTTGGTGGCTTGGTGGCTTTGTGCTCTTCCCAGGCCCCGGGCGATGTGGTGAGGCCTTCAGGGCAGTTTCCTGGGCTTCCAGGGCAGGTCTGAGAGATGAAAGTACTGGGTCCTGGAAGAGCCATCTGGAGGCTCCTGGCAGCTAAGGACAGGCACCCATAACGTCCCCAGGAATGATTGTAAGCAGCAATCTCACAGGTGCGCACACAGGTGGCCTCACAAGTTTATTCATCAAACTTTATCTTGGGGGAAAATGAAAAATGAAGGAAACCTGTTAATCATGCCTGAAAAGTGGAATATTAAACTGTCATTAACAATTAAGTGGAATAGCCCATGTGGAGGCCCACACCTGTAATCCAAGCGGCTGGAGGCAGGAGCATTTGAGGCCAGCCTCAGTGATTTAGCGAGACCCTGTCTGAAAATAAAAAAGGGCTGGGGATTTGGCTCTGTAGTTAAGCACCCCTCGGTTCCATCCAGGTTACCCTCTCCAAAAGTGCGGGGGGTACCTGCCTTTAATCCCAGCTACTCAGGCTGAGGCGAGAGGATGGCAAATTGGAAGCCAACCCCATCGATTTAGGGAGGCCCTGGGTTCGAGGCCATGGGTTCAATCCTAAGCACCACATAAAAATAAATAAATAAAATAGAGATTAAAAAAAATTAGGGAGGCCCTAAGCAATTTGGTGAGACTCTGTATTAAAACAAACAAACAAACAGAAAGGGCTGGGGATATAGCATATTGGTAAAGAACCCCTGGGTTCAATTCTGGGGGCTGGGATATTTAAAAAAAAAAAAAAGGCTGACTCAGTGGTCTGGTCCTGGGAGCATTCCATCCTCAGTACTTAGTGTAAGTACCTACCATGTGTGTGTGGGAGCTCCTCCAGGTGAGGCTACCCAGGAATAGCCAGGTGTACTGGCACAGCCCTGTAATCCCAGGTACTGGGGAGGCTGAGAGAGGAGGATTGCAAATTCCAGGTCAGCCTGATAATTTAGTGAGACCCTGTCTCAAAATAAAAATAGAAAAAGGGCTCAGTAATAGAGCACCCAGGGTTCATACCCCCTGCCCCCATTATACAGTGTTTTCCAGATAGGAAAAATATTTGTCTACTGAGAAAAGCAGATTGCAAAATGCTGTGCAGATCTTTCTCTTTTTCCGCATATCTGTATCTATATTTGGCAGATTCCAAGAATTTACCAATGGTTACTTCTGGTTAGTGGGATAAAGGTGTTTGATTTTTTTTTTTTTTTTTTTGTAGTTGGAGATGGACAGAATGCCTTTTTTGTTTGTTTGTTTATTTTTATGTGGTGCTGAAGATAGAACCCAGTGCCTCACGCATTCTAGGCAAGTGCTCTACCACTGAGCCACAGCCCAACCCCTAAAGGTGTCTAATTTTTTATTTTTTAAAAACATATCTACTGGTGTACCTTATTTTATTTATTTATACAGAGGTCTCACTAAATTGCTGAGGCTGGCCTTAAACTGAACTCAAGTGATCCTCTTGCCTCAGCTTCCAGAGTAGGTGAGACCAAGGCACATGCCACCATGCCAGGCATATTTTCTGATTTTTTTTTTAAAAAGGTATTTTATCACTTGTATAAGCAAAGTGTGTGTGTGTGTACATCCTAGTTGCCTGCTGCCCTGGACTAGGCCTCCTTCACTGAAGTTTCTCTTCTGCTCTGAGGGTAAGCACAGGTAGCTGTTGAAGCATTACACGAGTGAGCAACATCTGAGCTAATGATGACAATAGCAACAACTCCCTTAGCACTTGAGAAAGTGCTCCACACACATTATCTTATTTGCACATTATCTTATTTGAATCCCACCACAACTCTGTGAGGTCACACTATCCCCTTTTCCAGGTGGGGAGACAGGCTTCAGGAGGTTAAGTGGCTCCCAGGGACAGCAGCAGGAAAGTGATGGAGCCCATACTCAGCTCTGGCCCCTCAACCACTGCACCCTGCCCCTGACTCAAGCCCCTCACATACCTTGTGTCTGTTCATCCCCCTGCTCCTCTCACTGCCCGCCCCCCACTCCCCGATTTCTCTAGGAAGTATTGGAGTCTTATTAATCAAGTCGTGTGTGTGTGTGTGTGTGTGTGTGTGGTACTGGGGATTGAACCCAGGGCCTTGTGCATGCAAGGCAAGTACTCTACCAACTGAGCTGTATCCCCAGCCCATTGTTAATCAAGTCTTTATTCCTATAACTTACTACTCATAGACATCAGTACATGCTATGGAATGAAAGACTGAACATTTGAATATGGAGCCCTGGTGGGGCCTGTCATGGTAGATCCATAACCCCACAATCCCATTCTTTGTCACCTATTTTTTTTTTTTTTGGTGTGTGTGTGTGTGTGTGTACTGGGGATTGAACTCAGGGTGCTTAACCACTGACCCACACCCCCAGCCCTTTTTTTGTATTTTATTTAGAGACAGCCTCACTAAGTTGCTGAGGCTTTGGACTCTTGATCCTCCTGCCTCAGCCTTCCAAGCTGCTAGATTACAGGCCTGTACCACTGTCACTCAGCTAGCCTTGTCTTTTTGTACTTGCTATATTATCTGCATTTATTACCCCTCCCCACCTCCTTTCTTTCTTTCTTTTTTTTCCTATGTTGTCCATGGTGACCACGAAGCACAAACTCCTGGGCTGAAGGAATCTCTTGGGTGCTGCGGCTAGAGGTGTGTACACCACCATGTCAGGCTCTTCCCCTTTCGTAATATTTTATGAGACTTTTGGACAATGACAGCAGCAGGATCTGCTGGCTGTCTATCTGAACCAAGGCACTGAAGGAACCGATTCCCTCCCTGCTACACCACCAGATGCTGAGGGCAACCACCCTAGAGATTAAGGGAGCAGAGGGGAGGAACTTGGTTGGCTCCCCTCCCTTTCTGGAGGGATGGTTTCTATACAGGATCAGTGCTTAGGCAGGATGGGGGCCCACACACCAAGCCTTGCTGAGCGTGCACCCTCTAGACCCTCAACCCAGAGAGATAGTCAAGGGTGTAGGTACAGAGGCTAGGCCAGTCAGGGAAGGCCTCCTGGAGGAGAGAGCTGGCAGGCTGGGCTAGGAAGGGGAGGAGTCAAGGGCAGGAGGGAGAGAAGCGGGAACCTGCCCAGGCAGTCCAGTCCAGTGCTGGATGATTTAAGTACAACCAGATGTGCTGGGAATCTTCGGTCAGGACCAGCTCCTGTGAGGGCAGAGTGGGGGTGGGGAGCTTCTGGGCTACTTGGATTTCCAGTTTCCCATTCTGCCTTAAATCTGTAAGGTTGTGGGAGGGGAGAATCCCAGTGGGGTTCCAGAGGGGCTGGCAAGTTAGGGGACAAGTCATACAGGGTTTGATGGCGTATTCTGCCTTTGGGGTTGGGGTGGGACAGTGGGTTCTACTCTGGGGAACAGGTAGGATTAGGCTCTGAGGTGGTGCTACTAGCTTTGCAGGGGGTGGGGGACAGGCAGGGGCTTCACAGAGGAGGGCACATCTAGTTGGGTTCTGAAGGATGAATAGATGTTCACTGGGTAGAGTAGGGAAATGAGATTCCAGGCACAGAGACTCAGGTATTCAAATGGGGTGAGTATTTAGTGAGAGGTTCTGTGGGACTATAAGGAACTCACATTAAACATTAGGGGCCCGCGTGGGGTAAGGACTTTGGAAGTGTGATATCATGGTCCCCAAGTGTTGGGTTGACAGAGGTGAAGTGGGGGCTGATGGCCAGTCCCAGCTCCTCCTCCAAATCTTGAGTGGCCTTGCACAGAAGTGGATCTGTGCAGAGGAAGGAGCATTCTTCCTGATTCTCACAGTGGTTCCTAGTGGTCCCTCAGCTGGCTGTGGGGTGGGGACTGGACCCAGACACAACCTGTGACTCAGGGGAAGACAAAGCTGGTATCAGTTCATAAACAGGAAGGGTTGGGTGGGATTGAGCAGGGTTGGAGAGGCCCTGGGAATTGGGTCTTGAAGCCCAAACAGCCAGGAGAAGGGCTAGAGCTTCCATTTGTAGGGAGAGCAGCCTGGGCCCTGGCGAACATGCAGGGGGTAGCAGCCAGCTGGGTGTGGTGTCCTTTGGGCACACACCCCAGTTCCCCGGCCAAGACACATTTCCTTCCTTTCCTGCCTATAATGATTTCTGAGTGGCCAGCTACAGGGCCACAAAGAGAGGTCTCCCCGCCCTTTCCTCTGCCTTTCCTCCATTTCTTTCTTCCTTCCCTTTCCTCTCTCTACCCCTATCCTCTCTCAGAGGCCATTTTATTTCCTTCCTCCTTGCTCCACCTGTTCCTCCCTCCCTTACTTTGGCTTCTACTGCCTCCCTCTTTCTCCTCCCTCCCTCCAAAACACTTCATATGGATTCTCCCTGAGCCAGCGGGTTGTTTTTCTGAATGTTTTGGAAAGTGCCTGTTGCTGGTCTCTGGGCCAGGAAGGTTTGACACTTCACACACGCTCCTACCCAAATACTTATGCCCCCACCTATGCATGGGATGGCACTTGGCTGCACATCCAGGCACAGCCCCTGCCGCCTGGGGCAGGGTGAGAGTGGGATTCTCTATTTTTGATGTGATACAAGCAAAAGGGCTGGGAATGAATGGAGGGGCCTCCATAGAAGTCAGGCATTATGCCATCATTACCACTATTATTATCCAATCCATTGCTGGGCACTTGACCTGCCCTGGGATGATCTCAATGACCTCAGCAAGGGGCTCTCAAGGCACAGATCCCTTGCCTTGAGAAGAAGGGTTAGCCAGTAGTCCTCAGAGATTAGACTCCCAGGACCTGGCCCAGAGGACAGGAGGTAGAGATCTGGTGCAAGGCCATTTGCCAGGACTGAGTATTTGTCAGATTAGGAAGGATGATGTATTAACAGGATTTTAATGAGCTCAGAGAGGAAGAGGCACACTTCACTGCCTGAGTGCTGATGCAGGATAGGGGTGGAGGGGTGAAGTGACCAATCTCACCCCCACCTGCTAACTAAACCCCTTTAATGAAAAACATGGCAAAAAGAACAACTTAGTATTGCCAAGATGCTGACCTTACCTGATGGAGTCCCAAAGAGGCCTTCTCTAGCATACTGACCTGTCCTACCATGGAATAAGCAAGGCCTTCCTTATCTTTAACCTTGGCCTTCATACATGCACAGGGAGGTTCTCTTTCCAGAAGGGTAAGTAAAACAGAACTCCAGGGTGCACATCAGCAAGTCCTTCAAGCCAGGCCCTTCAGTCCAACCCCACTCCTATCACAACCCCTGCCCTTGAGCCTGGTGGCATATGCCCCCAGACACTCCCATTGCAATGCTACGCTTGGTGTCCCAGCAGGAAGGCACTAATACTGAGGGCTGAGGGCTTCTATCTTAACTCCTGTCTCTGGCCCCTGAGGAAGCTGACAAGTGGGATAGAAAGTATATAGTGGATTCTAGGTCCAACTCTGTTGTATAACCTCAGACATGTCACTTTTCTCTTGGCCTCAGATGCACCATAAATAAAAAAAAATATTGGATCCCAGCTGCTCCTTCCTGTTGTTATCATGGGATTATCCCTCCTGCTTGGGGGTTCTGCTCAGCCAGGATGGTGGCTGAGCCTCCTGCCTTTCTGATTCTGAAGCTGGGCCCCAGCACTCTGAACCTCAGCATATTCCTCCTCTGTGCAGTGGTGAAGTCTTGAGAATGAATTTGGAGAAGAGAGAATTCTGGAGGTGGTAAAGTGAGTTCTAGAACCTTCCTGATGCTGGTCTTGCTTCCCATATGTGGTCTGGAAAAAAAAAAAAGTGAGCTATTGAGGGTCTTCCCCTTCTGTGAATGGCACTTACCCAGGTGCTCCAGGTCTGTCAGAGCCGAGCCTCCTTCTCATTAGAAGGGAGAAGGTAGTGTTTAGAGTTCTGCTAAATGAAGGACATAGCCTGTTGGGAGTCGGGGAGTCAGGGGTGGTGAGGGCCACAAGGTCAGTCTTGCTCTATTGACAGGCAGGATGAGCTGCTCTCCAAAAGGAAAAAATAAAAACACTTCAGAAAAGAGGGCACTTGAGCACTGCCCATGGGTGGAAAGATTGATGTCCTTGGGACCCTTCTGGATGCTCAGTGTCTCTCCAGAATTTTATCTGGACCTTTCACCTTAAGTATAGCCCTTGCTCCGACGGCCTTCCGGGCAAAGGGAGGTCCTGGATTTTTTTCCCCAGTGATGCAAAGTTTTGTGCCTGCAGGACTCTAGGACTCTTTGACTAGGAGTATCACCAGGGCAGGGCAGTGCTTTTGGATTCTCTTAGGTATCCCCAGAGCTAGCCCAATGCTTGGCGCAAAGTAGAAGCTCAACATGCATCTGCTGAATGAACTCAGCAATCACTGAATGCTTTTGGATGCCAATAAGCCGACTAGAGGATTCAGACGCATCCTTCACATTCTCTCCAGCTTCCCACAGTGTGAATGCCGCCTCCTAGGGGAAGCCCTCTAGTGAAGCCCGCGGTTTAAAAGTCACACCCCAGGCCGCTGCCTACGTCCAGGGCTTGCCCTTCTCCCTTCACCCTCCACCCTCCCGCAGTCGGGTGTCATTGGTGCGGAGCTGTGGACTTGCCTGGCTTTGCGTCCTGCCCTCTGCGTCCCGACTGGCGGCGCAGCAGAGTCCGGCACGCAGTAGGTGCTCAGCTCACCTGGGGCGGGGGAAGTAAGCGTGGGTCAACACGGCTTTGGCAAAGGGGCCCTGGTGACAGAGGGGGTCCTGAGCAGCTCGCGGACGGAGCGAACCCGGGTCAGTCGACTTCCCTTTTGCCCTTCGACCCAGGAAGCCGCTCACACCCAGCGGACGCGCTCGGCGAGCCGGGCGGCACAACCCCGGGCTCCCGCCCTCCCCGCCTCCCCCGGCTGCTCAACCACCCCTACTTGCCCGCCGGGCCTCCATCCCCCCTCCACCCCCATCCCAACTTCCCGCTCCGACGGCCCGGGGAAGGCGGGGGCGGGCGGGCGGGCCTGAGAGTGGCGCAAGGACACTCTCCACACCGAGGGTCATTTGCTCTTTTTCCCCTCTGTGGCTAATTTATTTTAGAGCTAGGGGAGGCGAGGGGCGGGGCCGGCGGGGAGGGCGGCTCCGAGGGGCCGGGTGAGCCCAGGGGAGGTGGGGGCGGGGCGGGAAGGAGCGGGGTGGAGAGGGCCGGAGTAGGGGCGGGAGTTGGGGGAGGGACACTCGGGAGGGGAGGAGCAGGGGAAGGGGAGGGGAGCGAGGGCCTGAGAGGGAGGGCGCTGGGGGCGGGAGAGGGGAGGCAGGGTGGGGGTCCTGCCTGCGGGGGGAGCCGGGGCCGCCCCTTGTCCGGCCACCCCCACTGCCCAGTCCCGCTCCCGGCCGCGGTGGCCGCAGCAGCTGCAGCAGCAGTGGTTCCAGGATGGTGAGCGCCGCTGCCCCCCAGCCCCGGCCAGTCGCCCTCGGCCCGCTCCCCCGCCCCGGTCCCCGAGCCGGACGCCCCCCCAGGCCGCGCACACTCACCTAGGACCCGGCCGGGATGCCGAGGTACGCGTCGCGGGCCCGGGCGGGGGCAGGCGCGGGAGCGCGCGGGCGGGCCGGGGTCAGGGGGTGGTGACTGTTCGGTCAGGGTGTCCGGAGCTTTGTCCGCGGGCGCAGGGCCGTGCGAGGGCCAGCGAGGGCGGGGGCTGCGGGTCGCGGGGTTCAACTAAGCGGAGGTCGGAGGGCAAGGCCGGCAAGAGACCCGAGCGGGTGCGTGGGAGCCCAGGGTCACTTCCCGGGGGGAGGGGGCGGGCACCGTAGGGGCTAGCCGCTGGGGCAGCCGACGGGCACCCGTTTGGCGGTCCTCTCTGGTGTCGAGGCTGCAGGGATAGCAAGCAGCCTGCTCTGGGGAGGTTGGGGGGTAGGGGGCAAAAGCCAAGATTTGTGGGTTCGGGTCCCAGAGGATCCTGCGGCCGGAGCCCGAGGGCTGGCCCGCAGGCCCCTCCCACTCCGTCAGGTCTTTGTCCAGCGGCCCCTGAGTGTGTGGGAGGGGGTGGGGGCTGGGTTACTGGCCCGGAGATTCCCCAGCATGGTGACGGGGCAGTGACAGGAGACTGAGGCTACTTCGGATCCCCGCGCTCCTAATGCCCAGGCTCTTCATTTCTTCTCTCTGGTCCGGGAGAGCAGAGCCCCATCTCAGGGTTAGGGTGTTACACGAAGCTGCCCTTACAGTCACGTAGGGCTCCTGGCTACAAGGGAGACCCCAACTTTCTCTAGAGAGTCCCTTAAACTTCCCCACTTTAAGAGCCCTCTCCTGGTCTACACAGATTCCCATGCTAGACGCCTCCAATACTGAGGGTCCTCTGCAGAGTATTGGACACCCCACTAGGCGCTCAGAAATGCTGATCCCTTGCCGGTCCGCTCCGGTTCGGTGTCCCTTCTGACTGAAGGCCTGAGAAGGGGTCTGCGCGGGGTAGAGTGCTGGCGGCCTGCAGCCTGCACCCCGCGGCGGCCTGGAGCGCAGGGGTGGGTGGACGGGTGGGTGGGCTGTTAAAGGGACCGTCACTAAATCAGGATTAGGCAGTGGGGCTGTCAGGCTGCCGGCCTTGTCTCCATGGCTACCTAATTTGGAGGAGAATAGAGGACGGAAGAATGTTTGTGTTGTAGTCCGTCCGCACGGGCTGCAGCGGCGGAGCGAGCTTCTGCCCTCGGCCCCGCAGCGAGGAGTGGGGACCCGGTTCCAGTCCCACTCAGGGCTTAACGGCATTCAGTTACTGTGTCTTTCTTAGAGTTGCCCAGTCATTAGAATGGGCCGGGAGATGCCGCAGTCCCAAGACCTCTGACCCCGCAAAGGGAGTCCCGAATCCTCCCAGAGACAAATCCGAACCCCCTGAGCATCCTTCTGGAATCGGTCTTTTCCCCGAGCCTCCTAAGCCAGGAGCAAACGCCGTTCTTTGCTATGCCTCAGCCCCCAAGGACCCTATTTTGACCGCTCGCGCTGCGGGGCTGTGGCGACCCAACAGCTGGGTGCGGGTACCCTGCTGCAGGAGAGCTGTTGGGGGCAGGGGGTGGGGCGGGACTTCCTGGGGTGGGCGAGAAAAGGGGCGGAGCTTGCCGGGTGGCTGTGCTCCACTGTGTGACAGGTCTCATAAATCCCCCCTTTCCCATATTTAACACCATTTCATTTATTTCCACTTGATTCCATTGGTGTCCGCAGCAGCCAGAAAGTGACCCTATAACCTTGCTGTGATATCTCCTGGGGGAAGTCCTTGTGGGCCATGTAGCCGAGGGAGTTGCTCCTGGTGAGACCCAGATTTCACCAGTCCTCAGGGGTCCTCCATCTCCCCAGGAGAAGAGGGTGCTGAAGGACACAAGGATAAGTTGAGCCTACAATTCTTTGACTGATATGGTGGTGGGCTGGGGTGAGGATCCCGATTGGACAATTCCAGTACACAACCCCAGGGAGGTAGGGGAGCCAGCACCAATGGTGTCCCACAGCCCTTTCCTGTGTTCCTCCTGGTCATACATGGCCAAGCTTTTTATGGATCAAGAATCCCCTCCCCTTCCCTGACTGGGCTGCAGCTTTATTGCTGAGATCCCAGACTCTCCACGCAATTTCACGCCTCTCTGCCTTTGCTCTTGCTGTTCCCTCAGCCAAATGTCTTCCCCATTGTCCCTGTCTTGCCACAACCTCCTCATTCTTCAAGGCCCAGATCAGATGCCACACTTCCTCAAGTCTAATCTCCCCAGAACCTCCAGCTCCCCTCACTTTTGCCTCCCTTGTGGTCCCCTAGCCCTGCACCTGTGCTCCCTTCTGCTTTTGTGTCTGTATTGCCTTGGGAAGGACAGAGGTGGAACATGTATTCCCTTTGCCCCCTGCCCCCACAGGGCTTGGTACCCTGTGAATGCTCCATAAATATCTGTTGGCTGAGTAAAAGGAGTTTCCTAAGGGCATGTAGCCAGGCAGCTTACAAAGCATGGAATCTGACCACTTCAGGTAAATAGCTTTGCCCTCCTGGGTGGTGAAGACCCCTTGGGTGGGTCTCCTCCTTCTCTTCCCCCTCCTGCTCCTGCTCCTTTTCTTCCCCCTCTTCCTCCTTCTTGATGGCCCTCCCCACCCCCCAAGTCTGGGGAGGACTTTGCCCCTTCTCTTCCCCACAGACCAGCATTCTTTCCCTGCCATTATCATCCTGTTAAACAGAGAGGCCAGTCAGGATCCATATGGATCACATTAACAATTGCTTATTATCTGGACCAAGACTCCCCCACTCTCCACCCCCAGCTCCTCCTGCTGCTGTTGTTGGACCCTTAGGAGCCCAGCTTCCCTCCCCCTCCCCCAGTCAGCTGAGGAGGGCAAGGGACAAGCTGGTCTCCCTCACCCTCCCTAAGCCTTCGAGCAGAACTTTGCCTCTTCTTGATTTGGCAGTAAATGACTCCTTTACTCTATTTAATGAAAACCAGTTTCCTCACAGGAGCATGGCTCAGTGATGTTCCAAGGCCTGCATCCAGAAGAAGTGAATTCAAGGCCCTGATGCACCTGTGGTCCATTGCATTGAGAGTCTCTGCCTGCCATGAGACAGAGGCCATGGGGGGGAGAGGGGGCATGAGACACATATTTGGGGTATACTTGAATCTTATGAAATTCTAGCCTTGGGATGGCCCTGCTCTCTTTTGTGGGCTGGAGGCCTAATCAAGGAAATCAGGGCAGAGACCCCTGCAAGACTGTGTGGCACTGGATACCAGGCTTTCCTATAATCAAAGATGTAAGAAATGGGGCTAGGGTGTAGCTCAGTGGTAGACAGGGTACTGCTAAGCCCTGGGTTTAATCTCCAGCACCAACAAAACAGAACAAAACGGTCTGGGATCTCATAACTTTTTTTTTTTTTTAAATTTACAGAGCCCTCGGAGAGACAATAAAATCCGTCCCCAGAAAGATGCACTGCCATTAAGCTACATGGCAGGCTTTGCATTCTCCTTTAGAGGGTTCTTGAACCCTTTGAAGCTTAGAGGGACCCTATATTCAGGAACCCTTCCCATAGTCCAAACCAATCTGAGGTGCTGAAGGCAGAGTCTGGCTTGCAACCCAGGTCTTTTGACCTCTACACTCAGTGCTTGCTCCATACCTTTGATAACTGGCAGGGGAACAGCATGAGCCACAGAGCCACAGGCAGGTGATGGAGATGCTGGGCCAGACTTCAAGGGTTCTCACTGCCTGGGTCAAGGTCTAGGCTGGTCATCTCATTTCTGACTGTGTGGTCTGGAAAGAGGCTGTCCTGGGATTGTTTTGTTTTTGGGTCCACTTGTCTCCAGGAATAAGGTTGAGTGGCAAGAAAGCCTAGCTCTTCTTGGAGCATTTCCATAAGGATCTTGGCAACTTAATTAACACTTTTATAGCACTTATTAAACAATCTCTGTCCTCTTTGTGAAGTGAGACTAAGAATGGTGTCATAAGCCTCATAGAAGATTAAATGAGACAGGTGCTGGGAGACAGTTCAGATCTTGAATGACCAGGTCATTTGAGAAACAGCCTTACATGATGTTGAGATGGGCCCCAGTTTCAGTTTGCCCCTTGTCTCTGCAGCATACCCTCAACCTCTAATGATTTGCTCAGTGACACAGAGCACAGAGATTCCAGAGAGCCAACTTCCATTGCAAGAGTAAGGAGAAGTGGAAGAGGGTGTGTGCATAGGTTCTGACCTGCAGCAGGGCCTGCCTACACCACCCTTGAAATTCCCTCCAAAGTAGAGTCAGAGCAGAGATGGGAGTTCCGGAGATAGAAGAAAGGAGAGTCAGCTTGGCTCCCTGGAGGAATCTGGGGGGTGGAAATAGAACTTTCTCTGTGCTCTCTCACTGCCTAGACAGTCTCAGGCCATCTGGTCCCCACCCCAGTGCTGGGATTAGTCAGGGATATGATGAAGAAGCTGCATTTTACTCTCAATTAACCTGTGCTGCCTACTGTGTCTCAGTCTGTACAAGGTGCTCGGTGTACCTCATTCAGGCTCTAGATGATACCCATCCAGGGTTGGGATTCTTGGGTTCCTGGCACTCCCCATGTACTTACTGGGCACCTATGTACCAGGCCCTAAGTTGGGGCTTTCATACCTGGGGTCTCAATTAACAAGCCTCAGTCTCCTATATGGTCTGGGAGTGCTGGCGGATACCCCCAGCCCTGGTGTTGCTCTGTCAAGTGCACCAAGCATGATTTGTGGCTTCTAGGCCCTGGATATTTTAAACAGCCATTTATCCAACAAACAGTGTTATTATTATTATTTTAAAATATTTTTTAGGGGGCTGGGGCTATAGCTCAGTGGTAAAGTGCTTGTCTGGCATGTATGAGGCACTGGGTTCGATCCTCAGCACCACATAAAAATAAATAAAGATACTGTGTGTTCATCTACAAATAAATAAATATTTAAAAAATTTTTTAGTGGTAGATGGACATAATACCTTTATTTATTTATCTTTATGTGGTGCTGAGGATCGAACCCAGTGCCTCAAATATTCTAGGCAAGTGTTCTACCACTGAGCCACAACCCCATCCCCACATTATTATTATTTTTTTAAAT